AATGTTTGCCCACTCACAAAGAAATGATCAGTCTAAAAATCAAATGGTAGGTGTATTTTAATACAGACAGAATAGCAACAAAAAATTCAAAATAAATGCATGTCTAACAAATTATGCACTGAGTTGCATGTTCATGAGGGAAGTGTCAGGAATCTGGATATGACCAGAGATGTGTGGACTGACACAGGGAATAGCAGGCTTCAGGAGTAATGTAATAATATAGTTTATTTGTGCGACACACCAATATACTGCAACTCCCTCCTTACTGGCCTGCCTCGCCGCTGGCTATCCCCGCTTCAGTCGATCCTGAATACGGCTGCTAGACTCATTCACCTTTCCAACCGCTCTGTTTACGCCACCCCCCTCTGCCAATCCCTCCACTTGCTTCCCATTGCGCAACGGATCAAATTCAAAATCCTAACACTGACGTACAAAGCTGTCCACCATACTGCCCCAAACTACATCACCGACCTAATATCCAAGTACCACCCAACACGCACACTCCGCTCCTCACAAGACCTCCTTCTCTCTAGTTCCCTGGTCTCCTCCTCCCATGCCCGCCTCCAGGACTTCTCCAGGGTGTCACCCATCCTCTGGAACTCCCTGCCCCAACCTATCAGATTATCACCTACTCTCCTTTCCTTTAGGTGCACCCTGAAAACCCACCTCTTCAGGGAAGCCTACCCTACCCCCTGCTAACTTGCCAACCTCCTCCACTCTTCCTACCACTTCATCCCCCACAGCTTTCTACTCCTGTGCCACCAGCCCCTCCCTCCTAGATTGTAACCTCAAAAGAGCAGGGCCCTCGATCCCCTCGTTTTGCATTGTATTGTATTGTTATTGTTCTGTCCCCCATTGTAATGTACAGCGCTGAGCGAACTATTGGCGCTTTATAAATACTGTATAATAATACTGTATAATAATACCAACGCACCGTGCAAGTAAAAACCAAATAATCAAACATCCACCAAACATATACACATGCAGAGTCAAATCGTAGTCAAGGCTAGCCGCGGTCATACACCTGAGAGAGCATGCGGCACTGGGAGCCAGACAGGACAAGGAGCGGGTCACAGGAGCAGAGATAGCACGTGGGAAGGAAACTGGCTGAAACGAAGGGATAAGGAATAGAGATAAGGAGCTGGGTCCAGAAGTGGGTAACAGGAGCAGGTAGCAAGGTTCAGGTTATAACAGAAATACAGATGTCACAGGCACATGGGAACAAAACACCAAGGCCCTGATTGCAGGCCTGGTTACTGCTTAAATACACCTCCTGCAATCAGCCTCAGGTGATAGCTTGATTGCAGGAGGTGAGATCCTGGCTGCTAAAAAGCACTCGCTGGTAAGTACTGGTACTGCAGCCCATAGAGCAGGCGAGCCCCAGCACCACTAGCGGTAAGTCATTTCCTGACAGGAAGTATTTGATCCCCTTCACAAAACATGACTTAGTACTTGGTGGCAAATCCCTTGCTGGTAGTCACAGTGGTCAGACGTTTCCAGTAGTTGGTCACCAGGTTTGCACACATCCTAGGAGGGATTTTGGCCCACTCCTCTTGGCAGATCCTCTCCAAATCATTAAAGTTTGGTGGCTGATGTTTGACAACTCCAACTTTTAGCTCCCTCCACAGATTTTCAATCGGATTAAGGTCTGGAGACTGGCTAGGCCACTCCAGGACCTTAATGTGCTTCTTCTTGAGCCACTCTTTTATTGCCTTGGCCGTGTGTGTTTTGGGTCATTGTCATGCTGGAATACCCATCCACGACCCATTTTCAATGCCCTGGCTGAGGGAAGAAGGTTCTCACCCAAGATTTGACGGTACATTGCCCTGTCAATCATCCTTTTGATGCGGTGCAGTTTTCCTGTCCCCTTAGCAGAAAAACACCCCCAAAGCAGAATGTTTCCACCACCATGTTTGACAGTTGGGATGATGTTCTTGGGGTCATAGGCAGCATTCCTCCTCCTCCAAACACTGCGAGTTGAGTTTATGCCAAAGAGCTCGATTTTGGTCTTATCTGACCACAACTTATTCAACCAGTCCTCCTCTGCATCCTTCAGTTGTTCAGTGGCAAACTTGAGACGGACCTGGACATGTGATTTCTTGAGCAGAGGGACCTTGCGGGCACTGCAGGATTTCAATCCTTGTCGGCATAGTGTGTTACCAACTATTGTCTTGGTGACTGTGGTCCCAGCTGCCTGGAGATCATTGACAAGATCTTCACGTGCAGTTCTGGGATGATTCCTCACTGTTCTCATGATCAATGACACTCCACGAGGTGAGATCTTGCATGGTGCACCAGACCTAGGGAGACTGACTGTTTTGTGTTTCTTCCATTTGCGAATGATTGCACCAACTGTTGTCACCTTCTCACCAAGCTGCTTGGCGTTAGTTTGGTAGCCTAATCCAGCCTTGTGTAGGTCTACAATCTTGTCCCTGACATCCTTGGACAGCTCTTTGGTCTTTGCCATGGTGGAGAGTTTGGAATCTGATTGTTTGATTGCTCCTGTGGAAAGGTGTCTTTTATACGGGTAACAAAATGAGATTAGCAGCACTGCCTTTAAGAGACTGCTTCCAATCTCAGCTTGTTACCTGTATGAAAGACACCTGGTAGCCAGAAATCCTGCTGAATGATAGGGGATTAAATACTTATTTCCCTCATGAACATGCAAATCAGTGCATAATTTGTTAGACATGCATTTCTTTTGAATTTTTTGTTGCTATCCTGTCTCTCAGTGTTACAATACACCTACCATTCAATTTCTAGACTGATCATTTCTTTGTGAGTGGGCAAACATTCAAAATCAGCAGGGGATCAAACACTTATTTCCATCACTCTCTCTCTCTCTACATACATACATACAGTGGGGATCGAAAATTGGGCACCCCAGCTAAAAATTTGTATTAATGTGCATAAAGAAGCCAAGGAAAGATGGAAAAATCTCCAAAAGGCATCAAATTACAGATTAGACATTCTTATAATATGTCAACAAAAGTTAGATTTTATTTCCATCATTTACACTTTCAAAATAACAGAAAACAAAAAGATGGCGTCTGCAAAACTTTGGGCACCCTGCAGAATATATAGCATGCACTGCCTGCCCCCTTTGCCAAGCTGAGACCTGCCAGTGTCATGGATTGTTCTCAATCATCGTCTGGGAAGACCAGGTGATGTCAATCTCAAAGGTTTTAAATGCCCAGACTCATCTGACCTTGCCCCAACAATCAGCACCATGGGTTCTTCTAAGCAGTTGTCTAGAAAACTGAAAATAGTTGACGCTCACAAAGCTGGAGAAGGCTATAAGAAAGATAGCAAAGCGTTTTCAGATGTCAATATCCTCTGTTCGGAATGTAATTAAGAAATGGCAGTCATCAGGAACAGTGGAAGTTAAAGCAACATCTGGAAGACCAAGAAAAATATCAGACAGAACAGCTCGCAGGATTGTGAGAAAAACTATTCAAAACCCAAGTTTGACTGCATGATCCCTCCAGAAAGATCTGGCAGACACTGGAGTTGTGGTACACTATTCCACTATAAAGAGATACTTGTACAAATATGGTCTTCATGGAAGAGTCATCAGAAGAAAACCTCTTCTACGTCCTCACCACAAAAATCATCGTTTGAACTTTGCAAATGAACATATAAACAAGCCTGATGCATTTTGGAAACAAGTTCTGTGGACCAATGAGGTTAAAATTGAACTTTTTGGCCGGAATGAGCAAAGGTACGTTTGGAGAAGGGGCACAGAATTTAATGAAAAGAACCTCTGTCCAACTGTTAATCATGGGGTTGGGTCAATCATGCTTTGGGGTTGTGTTGCAGCCAGTGGCACAGGGAACATCTCACGAGTAGAAGGAAAAATGGATTCAATAGAATTTCAGCAAATTTTGGATGGTAACTTGATGCCATCTGTGAAAAAGCTGAAGTTAAAGAGAGGATGGCTTCTACAAATGGATAATGATCCTAAACACACCTCGAAATCCACGGGGGATTACATCAAGAGGCGTAAACTGAAGGCTTTGCCATGGCCTTCACAATCTCCTGACCTCAACATAATTGAAAATCTATGGATAGACCTTAAAAGAGCAGTGCGTGACAGACAGCCCAGAAATCTCAAAGAACTGGAAGACTTTTGTGAGGAAGAATGGGCAAAGATACTCAAACAAGAATTGAAAGACTCTTGGCTGGCTACAAAAAGCGTTTACAAGCTGTGATACTTGCCAAAGGGGGCAGTACAAGATATTAACTCTGCAGGGTGCCCAAACTTTTGCAGACGCCATTTTTTTGTTTTCTGTATATTTTGAAAGTGTAAATGATGGAAATAAAATCTAACTTTTGTGGACATATTATAGGAATGTCTAATCTGTAATTTGATACCTTTTGGAGATTTTTCCATCTTTCCTTGGCTTCTTTATGCACATTAATACAAATTTTTAGCTGAGGTGCCCAAACTTTCGATCCCCACTGTATATATATATATATATATATATATATATATATATATATATATATATATATATATATATATATATATATATTAATTACACACACACATATCAAATTATTTTAAGATATCAATGTTTTCAAGAACATTTTAAGTTTATTTTGCACTTTTTTTTTAATACTTGTAAATGGCCATATTTTCTCACTACGTATGTAAGTACCCAGATTCAGTTTGAGACCAGCATCACTTTGAGATGGAAGGCCAGCATTCTGAGCCAAACCAGACTTTGCTCAAAACACATTTTCTGATAATGAGGATCCAGAGTCAGAGTGGGCAATGTTTGCACAGGGGTGACCTCACCACTTTGTTCCTAGCAGAAGGGTGACGTGTCACTTTACTGACCAGGGCATTTGACCAAGCTGTATTGTTGCTGACTAAAAGATAAACATCTAGATACAATTACTACAAAAGGTTCTCAAACAACAAAACTGGTTGCATAAAATAACATTATTATTCTTTGGTTGCTTAGCTTAAAGAAAATGTGCAAAAGTTTTATTACCTCAAATTTTTTTGCATGGTGAAGTCCCCCAGCCCAGTTAATTGCGATGTCACAAATCTGTAGATCAACAATTTTAAGAATGCAATTACATTTGGAAAAATCAAACAAATTATGTGGATTTTTTTTAATAGCATTAACAATTATTTACATCCTTACAGTTTATTATCTACCTGTCCAATGGTACTTTATAAGTACAGAAATTTCTATACAGAAAATACACAAACTCTACAAGAAAAAGCAGTCAGATTGCAAGCACTATTTTATAAAGCAGCACTACTATCAGTTTTCTGCTTAATTTTTCTGTTTTAAACTGTTCTGCAAATCAATTTGCTACAATCTCGTTTTACAGAGTGTAAAATCCACACGCTGCAGGCAGTGTTTCAGACTGGCATTTCCAAATCTAAAGTCACTGGAGTTTCATAAATATAGTGGAAGACTTTACAAAACTACTAGAGGAATGGAATATTTAACACTCAACCGGGCTGAATATACAGTGCATCCAGAAAGTATTCACAGCGCTTAACTTTTGCCACATTTTGTTATGTTACAGCCTTATTCCAAAATAGATTAAATTAATGTTTTTCCTCAACATTCTACAAACAATACCCCATAATGACAATGTGAAAGAAGGTTGTTTTAAAATCTTTGCAATTTATTAAAAATAAAAAATGAAAGAAAATGCAAATACATAAGTATTCACAGCCTTTGCCGAGACACTCAAAATTGAGCTCTGGTGCATCCTGTTCTCTATGATCATACTTGAGATGTTTCCACAACTTGATTGGAGTCCACCTGTGGGAAATTCAGTTGATTGGACATAATTAGGAAAGGCATCAGAGCACAAACCAAAACCTGTCTATATAAGGTCCCACAGTCTTCCAAGAGCGGGCCAACCGGCTAAAATGAGTGATCGAGGGAGAAGAGGCCTTAGCCCAGGGAGCTAACCAAGCACCCGATGGTAACTCAGAGAAACGCTGGAGCTCTTTTAGTGGAGAGAGAACCTTCCAGAAGAACAACCATCTCTGCAGCACTCCACCAATCAGGCATGTATGGTAGAGTGGCCAGATGGAAGCCACTCCTCAGTAAAAGGCAAATGGCAGCCCGCCTGGAGTTTGCTAAAAGGCACCTGAGGGACTCTCAGACCATGAGAAACAAAACTCTCTGGTCTTATGAAACAAAGATTGACCTCTTTGGCCTGAATGCCAAGCATCATGTCTGGAGGAAACCAGGCACCGCTCACCACCAGGCCAATACCATCCCTACAGTGAAGCATAGTGGTGGCAGCATCATGCTGTGGAGATGTATTTCAGTGGCAGGAACTGGGAGACTAGTCAGGATTGAAGGAAAGATGAATGCAGCAATGTACAGAGACATCCTTGGTGAACACCTGTTCCAGAGCGCTCTGGACCTTAGATTGGGGTGACGGTTCATCTTTTAACAAGACAACAACCCTAAGCACACAGCCCACATAACAAAGTCGTGGCTATGGGCCAACTCTGTGAATGTCCTGGAGTGGCCCAGCCAGAGCTCAGACTTGAACCTGATTGAACATCTCTGGAGATCTGAAAATGGCTGTGCACCGACGCTCCGAATCCAACCTGATAGAGCTTGAGTGGTACTACAAAAAAGAATGGGAGAAATTGTCCAAAATAGGTGTGCCAAGCTTGTAGCATCATACTCAAAACTACTTGAGGCTGTAAATGGTGCTAAAGGTGCTTCAACAAAGTATTGAGCAAAGGCTGTGAATACTTATGTACATGTGTTGTTTTTTTTTTTTTTAATAAATTGCAAAGATTTCAAAACAAACTTCTTTCATGTTGTCATTATGGGGTATTGTTTGTAGAATGTTGGACAAAAATGAATTTAATCCATTTTGGAATAAGGCTGTAACATAATAAAATGTGGCAAAAGTTAAGCGCTGTCAATACTTTTTGGATGCACTGTAATCAGTAAAAAGCATCAATCACATTCAAATTTCAAGATCGGTTCTAAAGTTTAAAAGAGAAAAGAACATGCAGGGCTTTCCCCATAATCTCTCACCCTGATCAACTCTTTCAATAAAGCAAAATGCAGCTCTGACAGCCTCTAGCACTCTTACAGGAAACTACTGTGGTTATCCAAGAGGGAAAAGGCAAGTTAAAAATAATGAAAAATACACAGTCTTCCTAAAGTTCCCAATCTAGACACCTTTTACAAAGCCTATACAGAAGTGTAATCCATACAGAAATTTGTGTGGAAAAGGATGATGGTCTTAAATGAGAACTAAACCCTTGAACCAATGCAATGTAATATTGCAGCTTACAGTCCATAAATGTGGTGGCTACATTAGTTTTGGGGGGTTTTGTGCTGAGAAGATTTTAAGCAAATACTTGTTGAAATGCAGTGTCTCTGTCACTTCTTGCGAGCTGCACAGAAGAAAATCTTCCCCCCTAGCTATCTACTGTAAACTGTCAATTTCTGTCCCCCATGCAATGGAAATGAAGAGATGCAGACATGTTTGTAGTGCATATCCTCAGAACAGTCTAGGGTGACAACCATGGCTCTCTTCATACTCTTCAGGGTGGCAGGGGTGCGCAAAATCACGTATAAATACACATGATTTTGCATTTCCGGGTAGGAGGCGTGTGTGCATTGCGAGCGCACCCTACCCGCGGCACGGCGCGGCCTCGGCTGTCAATCACTGGGTCCTGGCAGGTGATTACTCACCGCCACCCGGTGATTGCTGAGCAATACCGACAGGGGGAGAGAACTGTCTGTAAACAACCACAGTTCTCGCCCGTCAGCTTTTTATTAGCACTAATCACTGTATTGATGTCACTGGGGATATCAGTGACACCAAGTTAGTTCCCCCCAGTGTCAGAATGCCCGTCGCAGTCCCGCTATAAGTCGCTGATCGCCGCCATTACTAGTAAAAAAAAAAAAAAAACAACAAATCTCAGTATATACACCGCCATTTGTAAACATTATAACTTTTACGTAAACCAATTAATTTACATGTATTGGGATTTTTTTTTCAGCAAAGATATGTAGAACATATTTTGGCCTAAATGACGAAATTTGATTTTTTAATTTTTTTTTACTGGACATGTTTAATAGCAAAAAGTCAAAAATATAGTTTTTTTCCTCAAAATTATTGTTTTTCTTTTTATACTGCATAAAATATAAAAAAACGCACAGGCGATCAAATACCACCAAAAGAAAGCTCAATTCGTGGGGGAAAAAAAGGACATAAATTTAAATTGAGTGCAGAGTTGCATGACCGCGCAATTGTCAATTAAAATAGCGCAGCGCCGTAACGCAAACAATGGCCTGGTCAGGAAGGGGGGTAAATCCTCTGGAGGGCAAGTGGTTAAATACTTTAACCACTTTTTGCAAAACAAATCTATACATTGGCTCACTATAGGTATTATTATCTTAATACCTAATGTAAAACCTTACATTCCAGAAACTCTAGATTTGGATGAACCAAACTGTTACAACTCAATGATAATCTGAGAAGACTGTAACGTAGGGCTTAAGCATAGAGATTCTGTTTTAACAATCATATTGCTTGGAGAATGACGATACAGAAATTATGAATAAAAAGACAGTGCAGCGCTAAAAATAGTGAATATATCAATAGGGTTGAGCACTCCTATAAGCTCATAAAAAGTCAGGTAATGAACAAATAAATCTATATATAAACATATAAAACAAAATAATCTGTGACATCAAAGTCCCCCTAAGAATATAAATATGCAAGGTGAAAGTCCAAAAATGTGACAGTAGATGTGACCGCTCTGCTATCCCAGTGTGGCATAAGATAGTAGTATCCGGTGAAAAATGGTAAGATTGCACACTCACCGGAAGCGCAATCTTAATGTGCATAAATCAAACGTATCGACCGGAGGGTCTCCTAAAAGGGTACAGCCTGGTAGGAGTAATAGAGATGTCAATCAGAGAGTCCCTTTAACGGGTTATCTGTATTAGGGTCTGGTCCTAGGCTTCTCTCCTCTGGTCCGAGCAGATCACCTGGGGTCCTGGGATGGGGTTTAAATGCTCGGTGCAGAGCAAGAAAAATAGATGCCCATAGTGTAGTATGTTAAAGTATTTACTGAATGAGCATTAAAATATGGGTAGTGATGAACATACATAAACTTAGGCACAGGGTGACTGTGAGCTTGTATAATAGGCAGTATGGAAGCTGCTGAATACACTGACCCTATTGATATACTGATATACTCACTGTTTTTAGCACTGCACTGTCTTTTATTGCTTGTTGGAAAGGTTTTTGGTTCCCTTTTGGTGCATATAGCTGCTTTTGTATGCGCTCGCTAGGTTCTTACTTTTCTGATACAGAAATGATGTATGTTAAAGAAATAAGTGTGAAGAGAAGTGGAATTTAATACATTTAAATAGAAGCCCATTTGTACAAAGAGGTCTTGGTCACAGACCTAGATCAATTAGTGATTACCTGCAAATCTTGCATCTACCAAATTTAGGGTATCCTGCAGTTTACAGATTCTTCGCTGTATATCAGCGGGTTACTAAATGGCGGACTGTGGTCCAAGAACGGCCCCAACAGCGCTCCCTTCTGGATCGCCAGCCCGCAATGACACATCCACTGCTGAGCAGGGTGGTCGTCAAGGCAACCGATGACATCATGTGTGCGCCCCAATCCTTGCAGCTCACTAAGCTGTAAGGGGGCACACTGATGGGCACACCCTATTTGGACCTTGGCCAGAAGAAAATTTTAGTGACCGGACCTCCTTGAATTTTAACTCAATACCCCTGCTGTATATGATCACTGAGAAACTAGCAGTTGAAGAAACCCAGGATCAAGTATGCAATTCTCTGTGTATATAATAAACTGGCAAATTAACCACTAGCCTACAGGGCACTTATACCCCCTTATTGCCAAGGCCAATTTTCAGCTTTCAGCGCTGTTGCTCTTTGAATGACAATTGCGCGGTCATGCAACACTGTACCCATATGACATTTTTAAAAATTGTTTGTGACAGACAGAGCTTTATTTTGGTGGTATTTAATCACCTCTGGGTTTTTATTTTTTCTTAAACAAAATTTTGAAAAAAAAGTTTGTTCTTAGTTTTTGTTCAAAAATTTTGTAAATAAATGATTTTTCTCCTTCACTGATGTGCGTTAATGAGGCTGCACTGATGGACACTGATAGGTTGCACTGATGGGCATTGACAGGCATCACTGATGGACACTGAAAGGCAGCACTCATATATGGAACTGATAGCGGCACTGATAGGTGGCACTGACTGGCACTGATGGGGACACTGGCAGCTCAGATTGGCACTGATATGTGGCATTGATGTGGCACTGATGGGCACTGGCAGGTGGCAAGGATGAGCACTGACAGCTGGCACTGATGAACACTGATAGGTGGCACTGCTGGGGCTACACAGATCATTAAAGCACACTGATGATCAGTGCCCTGATGATCAGTGCACATGTCCCCTCTGAGGGATGCCGATTACCGGCTCTACTACCAGCATTTCCCTATTTACATACAATCAGCTGTGATTGGACACAGCTGATCACATGACCGAGCTGACATCTTCGGCTCTTTCCGTTGATCGGTGATCCGCTGTGTCCGAGGGACACAGCGCACCACCGATCGCCACGCTGTGCGCTCCTAGAGCAGCGCATGCGTGGTTAGAATGGGACGATGTCATAAGACGTCCTCCCAGAACGAGAGAACCGCCTTGCACCTGTCATTACCTTATATGGTGGGCAGGAGGTGGTTAAAGTCTAAAAGACACATGAATCAGTTTTAAGATGATGCACATGTAGCGAATTTACTTTTCATCTCTAATAGTAATGTGTATCAATAAAAAATATTACCTTGTTGTTTAGTTGAGTAGCTCCTTGAAGTGACGCTCCAGTGTACCGAGAGCAAAACTCAAATAGGCCAGGAAAAACTGGACTGAAAAAGGAAAAGAAAAACAAAACAAAACAAAGGAAGATAGTATAAAAATACATTTGACCCACCTAGGTAAGTAGTAATGATCCATAAGCGCTGCGTAAACTGTTGGAGCTATATAAATCCTGTATAATAATAATAATATTTCCTTTCCTGTTATCTAAGACAGTGTGGCCCAACTATATTCTCATATACCCCAAATGATGTAAGCTGTAAAAGTAGCCTCACATCTGCATTGGTGAGATAAAATAGCAAACTGAATGATTTGAAGAAGGCCTGCAAAATAGGAAACAAGCAGGCCCTCACTGGAGCCATCTACTTCTGAAAATGTCAGTTTCCTGGCTTTCATTCAAGACTTTTTAAAAAAGCTCATACTGTAGTATGAGCTAAAAAACTCATTCAGGAATGTCTCTGGACCAACATTACTTGGTTTACTCCAATTCTGGTTTGCAGGAGCATGTCCTCTATAATACATGAATCAAGGCAAACATCTTGAAGACCCAACTATCGAAAATCTTAAATTCTCTTTTCAACATCACAAAAGATTTAAGCATGTGTTGAGTGTATATTGGTGTTTATCTTTCAAGCCTATTCGTACCCAAAAACATTGCTAAACATTTTAGATCACAGGGTTACACAAGATTGGATTATTGGCAAAATTAGCTGGGAGGTTTGAGGAAGGAGTTGTGTGCATTGTTTGTAAATTGTCAAAGATATTTTTAACCACTTCAAGTCTGGACACTTTTACCCCCTTCCTGTCCAGGCCAATTTTCAGCGCTATCACACTTTGAATGACAATTGCGCGGTCATGCAACACTGTACCCATATGAATTTTTTAGCATTTTTTTTAGACAGTTAAAGCTTTATTTTGGTGGCATTTATTCACCACTGGGATTTTTATTTTTTTTTTGCTATGTAAATGAAAAAGTCCAAAAATTTTGAAAAAGTGTTATTCTTATAAAATTTTGCAAATAAATAATATTTCATCATAAATCTTGGCCAAAATTTATTCCATTATCTTTTTAGTAAAAAAAAAACCCAAATTAGTTTATAAGCAAAAATTATAATTTTTAAACTTTTTTTTACATTTATATATTATTATTTATGTTTTTTTTTTTAAACATACTGTCACCCTAGCAGTACAGTATCACCATGGTGACACTGTACTACTTGTGGGGGGTGATGAAGAATTTTTTTTAAACTGATTGCTTTTACACCCATAAAGGCTGCAAAAGCAATCATTTCTTCTCTCTGGCTGCATTCTTGCAACCATTGAGAACTACTATGTGAGCTGTGATTGTTCACAGCTTGTCATATGGTACAAGGCTGTTGTGAATAGTTTTGTACCATGTGACCTCTGTGATCATTCACAGATTTCACATAGTAAGCAATGACGTCAGAAGTGACATCTTGCTTACTACTCTGCATGTGATCACTGATTGGCCAATCAGTGATCACATGATCGGGATCTCACACAGAGGTCCTGTACGCCGATCGGTGTTCCACTGTGCCCAGAGGACACAGCGGGCACCGGATCGCGGTGCTGCACACTCCCAGAGAGCGCGTACAAGCACGGGGCGGGGAGGCCGTTTATAAACAGCCACCCGACCCTGCACTGCCACCGTCCGGCCGTTTATATACAACGGCCGGATGGGAGGTGGTTAATAGACCATAATCTGTGGTATTAGGTGCGAGTTTCCAATGGATTTACATTTGTCAGTGTTTGAAAGGAGGAGACAAATAGCCACATTTGAGGTAGCAGCATTGTTCAGGTTTGGAAATTTCCAAGACTGTATACTTTATATACTAGTTGATAGTCAAAGCAGTATATTCTCAGATTAGGTAGAGCCAGTCCTTCTTGTGATAATGGAAGATGAAGCTTAGACAAAGATTCTGGGAAAGGGTGTTTAAATTTCCCATATGAAGGTAGCAATTAAACCAGCACATATCTGCACATTGTTTCCAGGGTATCCCTGAACCGTTTTCCGGATTTAGTGATCTTGCCCGATAGCCCAAAACTTTTGGCAGCAAGTGCATCAAATTCTTTGTGCCCTCTTTGTCAGGCCTCTGCATTAAACCCCACAGGACTCTGTAAATCCCAATTCCCCTTATGACAAATGTATAGCTGAACCCGGTTATTACCACGTATTTCTATTTCACAGGTTAAAGCCAGGGTATGTTGGATATTGGTTAATAAAAAGCTGATGGCCCGACTGCAGAACACAATGTCTAAACTCTGGCAAGTCGAGAACCCTTGGGTCACGACATTCCTACTGAGGAACTTTGACCGCAGGTTACTAGAACTAAGAAATTACACTCTACATTATCTTGATTATGGCAACTCGTGTACCCCCCAGCCGACTCACCCCCCTACACCACATGAACCTTACCCATCTCCCGTTCCCCTCTTCTCTGTCTTTCTTCTTACTTTTCTTCTTTTCAAACTTTTAGCTGCCTCCTGCTCCTCCGTTCGATCCACCAAGCTGAAATCATCACACGCACTCCAGATTTCGAGTTTTAGTAATAAACCACGTCACCATTAGCTCCTGTGGGCATACTTGATGCCTCTTTCACAAACTTGTTCACTCTCCACCACTGATGTGCTTCGCTAAATTTACCTTGTCTGTTTATACTTAAATTTACTCTTTGTAAGCGGTCAACACAACTTCTTTTACACTCAATTGTAACTCTTAAGAAAACTCAGTAAAAAAAAATTATTGAACCAGAAGGTAGCAATTAAGGAATTGATTTCACCAAACTTGCATTTATATAATGAATAAAAGGCTTCCTGTAACTGGCTGACATCATCCATCCACTTCAGCCAATCAGATGAAGCTTTGCATTCAAAATACAACATATCCTGTGAATGACTGAGCAGGGCTCAGTCCAATCGATTTTGTTCTGGGAGCAGGAAGTCCCTTTACCATTGCTGGAACACAGAGCTGTATACTGTATGTAACTGATTCTACATATATGGTTTATACAGCGCCGACAGTGGGCGCATGTATTAGTGAAGAAAATAGTTAATTTGGACCAGCTTGTTCCAAATGGTGGGACAACCATTTGTGCCTGTGCCATCCCTTTGGTCTTCCCATCTCTTTTTCCCCCTCTTACTCTTGTTTTACAAAATTCCTTCTTTTAACATTACACCAGAGATGACTTTCTTACATTGTTAACATAATCTACAGCTGTCACTGCTTTTTTATAGCTGTGGTGTACATCCATTTTTAAATTATTTAACTTTGTCATCATGTTTAAAAAGGAAACAATATGGATAACACCATCACACAAGCCTGAGTTGGGCATATGAAGCAGACCTTCCCTGTGATTCTTTCAAATGTTGCTTATTGAAATGATTGCTCACTCATTACACAGAGGTACTTGATAGCTTATTTTTCTTAAACGTTGTATATATCAAGAGATGACTATACCTTTTGAAAATGTTTTTAAAAATATTGAAATGAAAACACTGCATCTGTGCTTAAAATGGACCAATCAGAAACTTGCATAAACTATGTGAACATAATCCTGACATGTCAGAATCAAAGTACAAGTTTTCAAAACTCAAGTAACAGGGTCTTGGCTGTGGACAAGAACCTGGGTCAATTATGTCATCAGGGTGCTGTAGGTGGAGGGAAGCATTTCTTTAATCACCCCTCTCCAGTATTCACTATGACTGCGTCATTGTAACTTTGTAGTAAGTCGCAAGGTAAGCAGCAGCACAAAGGGGTTGAGCTGTGTAAGGCGATACACATACACACAAATGAGAACATGAAGACTAATGCTCAGATGGAAAGGTTTTAAATATGGGTAAGGCTGGGTAAGAATTGGACTCCTGGAAATAGGTTGTAATCATGAAAGGAGCCAGAAGATGGTAGCCACCTTCTGGGAAAAATTAAAGACAAAAGCATTGTCAGAAAAATGTGATCTATTTGACAGGCAATAAATACCTGCATGTATTTATGTTTCTATATATTAAGGACTAGCTCACACAAGCAAGCCACACCAAATGTATGGCTGTTGGTGTGCAGTAGGAGGAACAGTGACAATGTGCCAGGATAGTTTTTCTTTTCTTTGTTAGAAGTTAATTGAAATGTCACAGGTGACATTTCAGTCAGTTAATTTTACTGCAGCACCATAGCAATGCAGTAGTTTGCATCACTACCCCACACAAAAACAAATACTGCATGCACTTCTTTTTTTTCAGTGTACACACCACTGCAATCATGTTGTGAACGAAGTTCATAGAAAGCAGGGTAAACTGCCTTGTCTTTGCATTGGGACCACACAGGACAAGGGTACCCAGCACAAATGATGTGAAAGGCCCTAAACCTTTCGTGACCAGGGTTCATTAATGCTTAAACACAGTAAAAAAAAAAAAAAAAAAAAAGTGTCAGAGTGATCACCTAAGCAAGGAACTTGGATTAGTTTCTGATAGCCAGTGCTGACCTCGACTGTCACTGACAGACAGTACTGAAAACCAGTAGCCATAAAGTGTTGACTGCTGGTTGTCAAAGGGCATAACATATATTAACTTATCCCCTGCAGGGGAATGTTAAGTGTATACAATGTATAACTAAAACAGAAATTATTACATTTGAACTTAAGACAAGCAGATAACAGTAAAAAATAAGTATATGTGTATATGTAAACTGTCTTATTTGCTGAGGAGTTTCTAATTTAATACAGTGAGCCTTGTGATTCAGATACGCCTGCCAGACAGCAAACCCAGGTCCTGGAGCTCCACTGCCTCTTGTTCAGAGAACTTTCTTTTTTCATTCTCAGAGCAGGAGTTTTCAAATCACATAAGCCCATGGCAGGAGACAATAGTATTTCTAATCTTAGAGGATCAGGTTATGGTAAAATTTGTAAACCTCAGATTTGAGGTAAATCAAAATGGCTCCTGACTTCTACTGTAAGACATGGTTTTAACGTTATGTATGTGTGTTCATGCAAATTAACCCCTTCATCCACAATCTGTGTATACTTACCAGTCATCACCGACATTGAATGCGTTAAGACTTTTAGTGAAGCCTTGCATGTTGTTAGGGCTCACTCTCTGAAGGAAATCAATGTAGTCTTCAGAGTGAAAGCGGCACATGTCATGCTGTGAAGCTTGATATGGTTTAAAGACCTGCAAGTCAATGCATATATAGAGCAATCACAATAACTATACATTTTTGAGAGCCGATTTAGGAAGGCAGGAAATAAAAAAGTGGTTGCCCATATCTAACCAGTCTTGTGTTTAATTTACCAGTTAGGGCCCATTCACATTAGGTTCAGTTACCTGCATTTTATCTCATGGAAAAACACAGGTAACTACAATGACACACAAAACAAGCCATGTTAAGATAGAATGCCGTGTTACAGTGTGTTCCAGAGCAGTGAAATATTATACATCAGATTTGCATAATATTGCACTACTCTGCATGGTCCCACAGGTCACTACACACCGTCCTGCTGTGCAGTGCCATAAATGAGATGGCACTTTCTACACTTAAGATAAAGTTTTGAGCTGTGTGATGCGATAAAATGTGCAGAACAGAACCCTGTTGCATGATTTTGCAGCCCAGAATGCTATGGGCAACAGCAGTTTGGGCTGCAGGGCAGTGTGCGTGGGCCATAATAGAATTAAAGCTATCAAAATACATTGGTCCAAAATGTGCACACATAGCAGCAAGAATCACTGTCACTCCCCATATGCAAAGCAGGGTGACAGTGATGTTGATTTACTAAAGGCAAATAGACTGTGAACTTTGCAAGTGTAGTTGCATTAATTTTCCACAGAGCTTAGTAAATGTGGTGAAGCTCTGCTGATTTCAATCACCCAATCACATGTAAGCAAAAATGTTTAGTTTTTTTTCCTTGAATTTGATTAGGTATTTTTTTACAAAGTGAAGGTTTGCCACCATGCACTTGCAAAGTGCCCAGACTATTTGACTGTAATAAATCACCCTTATTGGTAATTCCAAATAATGCATGTTGTGTTGTCATTACTTCTGCCATGGATACATGAGTGTTGTCCAGCACTCTACAATCTAATACAAATTTGATGTTGGTATCTTTCAAAGCGGACTCAAAACTCAGTAATCTGCCAGCACTAAAGAAACGTGTATATGAAAACACGTAAACATACCTACACGACTCGTGTCTTTCCCCAGTTATAAGAAACCTAGCCACCATTGCGCTCAATCCCACCCTGCCATTTACAGACAAAAAGGTTATCTTCTTTTTCCTTATTCTTTGTGCTGGACCATTGATGAAATCTGTGCCAAATCTCACCCATGCAAGTGAGGCGGGAGCTGCTGCATGCCAAAGTAAAAAGGCATTTTTTTCCCTGGCGAGCTCAGGAAAAAGGCCTTTTTACCCTCCCAGAGATCACAAGAACTGCCCGGACGGCAATGGCTAAATCATATTATGTGTGTAGTAAAAGAAAGCTTTGGGATTCTACAGGTAATGTAGGGCCCATTCACACCAGTTGTGGTAGGACTGCGTGGACCGACTATTCAAGAACAGTCTCACCGCAAGACAAGGCAAAATGCCTTGTTTCCTACCTGGTCAGTTTACAACACTGCATTGCATTGATATGCACTGAAAAAAGGTTAGCATGCACAACTTTTTTTCAGTAATTGACCGCCTTAATGAAGTGTTTGTTTTGACTTTAATTCGAAACCCATCTGTTCTGTAATGTGCTATTTCAACATATGGAAATAGACCCCCCCCCCCACCCCCCCAAAAAAAACTCAAGCTCAAACAGTTGATATATCTGTACATTTTTCATTATACTTACAATCATCTTTTTATACAGCCCATAGTGAAGGACCAGACTGTGTGTGAGAGCCAGGCGGTGTGGTTTCATGGGATGACCTGTGCCTGAAAAGTTGACAAATGTTATTTTTGTATTTCCTTAAGGTTTCTCTCATGACATTACATAATAAAATTTATCTATTAGGGCTCAATCACACAAATGTTAAAATGGTGTGAATTTCTCTGACCAAACAATTAGAAACAGACTTCATGAGGGTGGTCTGAGGGCCCAACGTCCTCTAGTGGGCACTGCCCGGCACCATAGAGATCGATTAGCATCTGCCATTGAACACCAGAGTTGGCAGGTCCGTCACTGGCGCCCTGTGCTTTTCACAGATGAGAGCAGGTTCACCCTGAGCACATGTAACACAAGTGAAAGGGTCTGGAGAAGCCGTGTAGAACATTATGCGGCCTGTAACATCGTTCAGCATGACCATTTTGGTGGCAGGTCAGTGATGGTCTGGGGTGGCATATCCATGGAGGGACACACAGACCTCTACAGGCTAGACCAGGGGTGGGCAAACTTTTTGACTTGAGGGCCGCAATGGGTTCATATATTGGACCCGGGGGCCGGACCAAGAGTAGATGAATGATGTGTATGTGTCATCCATAGTAAGTATAGTAATATTCCCCCATAGTAAGCATAGTAATTAATCCCCCATATAGTAATTCATCCCCCATATATAGTAATTCATCCCCCCTATAGTAATTCATCCCCCCTATAGTAATTCATCCCCCCTATAGTAATTCATCCCCCATATAGTAATTCATTCATCCCCCATATAGTAATTCATCCCCCCTATAGTAATTCATTCCCCATATTAAGTCCCCAAGTCCCCCCTGTGTCAATTCACTTACCTTTGCTCCGCGCGTTCCGGTGTAGCATGAAAATCTGTCTCCTATGAGGATCTGTCCCCCTCGACGTATCTGCGCATGTGCCAGTTTCAGGCATTAGCAGCCGATCGGCGATCTCCGGCACATGCGCAGATACGTCGAGGGGGACAGATCCTCATAGGAGACAGATTTTCATGCTACACCGGTCTTCAGGGCGGACTGTGAGAGGAGCCTAGCTCCGCGGGCCGGATTAAAAGATCCGCCGGGCCGTATACGGCCCGCGGGCCGTAGTTTGCCCATTGCTGGGCTAGACAATGGCACCCTGACTGCCATTAGGTATCGGGATGAAATCCATGGACTCATTGTCAGACCCTACGCTGGTGCAGTGGGTCCTGGGTTCCTCCTAGTGCACAACAATGCCCGGCCTCATGTGGCGAGAGTGTGCAGAAGTTCCTGGAGGATGAAGGAACTGATACCATTGACTGGCCCCCACGCTCGTCTGACCTAAATCCAGTAGAACATCTCTGGGATATCATGTTTCAGTCCATCTGACACCGCCAGGTGGCACCTCAGACTGTCCAGGAGCTCAATGATGCCCTGGTTCAGATCTGGGAGGAAGTACCCCAGGATACCATCTGTCGTCCATTAGGAGCATGCTCCGATGTTGTCAGGCATCCTTACGTTCTTAACACATTACCCAGTCCATATCAGTATAGATATCTAACATGATATTTTTCCCCATTGAGATCTGACGTGTTTTCAAAGTGTTACTTTATTGTTTTTGAGCAGTGTATGATGCCCCACTTACAGTTTTGCATCTTTGATACAGTCAGTATAATGCAAGTGTTAACAAATGTGCGTATGGTTTGTTTTTAAATAGAAAAATGGAATACACCATGAGGGCTTGTTAACACCACATGCAGTCCAGTGCATTTTTCTTCTGCATCAAAAATGCATGGACATTAGGTTATAAGGGTCCCACGATCTGACAGCGTGAGGAAAGTGCAGCCGAGAACCGGCATTTGCATTTCCCGGTGATCAGCGTGTCATTGGACACGGCTGATCACGTGGTAAAAGGCCGCTGTGATTGGCCTTTTACCACATCACGTGATCAGCTGTCCGCAGCTTAGTTTCTTCACGGCTCTGTGTGCCATGTTTGCAAGGGCACAGCAGCCCAGTCATTGAAATTGGCCGCTGTATTTGCTTTTCCTGCAGGAAAAAAACTCCCTCTACTTTTTTTTTTCTTTAAACACAGTTGAACGGAAATGGCATAGTGCTTTAGTACCATGTGTTTTAGCGTGCGGGAAACCACACTGCATTTTTCAGTGTGTGGGGGTGCCATTAGGACTTAGTGGCACCTCTACGCATTTTCTTAAAAGCAGTATGATTTTTGCTGCAGAAAGAAGGCAAGTATAGATGTTTGGATTGTTTAAAATTTTTTTAATCCCCAAACATCTCCTTTAGGCCTTGTTTACACAATACGTGCAGAAAAACTGATGGAACTGATGCACAGATTTCACTTGCTGATATCAGTTTTTATGCACATTTCAATGAGTTTTATAGATGGTGCAGATACCTGCACGTGTACTAATGTTGTGGAGTGGACAGGGCTCATAGAGAACAATTGATTTTGTTGTGCCCTTGCAGAATGCGTGCAGAAAAAGTGATGTCTCTGCACCACAGTGTGAATGAGGCCTTAAAGTGTTACTTAACCCAGGAGCCTGCATTCACTATATAGCTGGTCTCCCATAGTACACAGAACATGAAAATGCAATTATTTTAGTAAGTATAAACTGCTAAATACCTTTTATTATAAGCAATATAGAGCAGTCTTATGACTTCTATCAGTGTCCAGCCGAGCATTGGTTAATCTTTTAGGAGGAGTTTTCATTCTGCTCTGACTGTCCTATGAGGCTGCATAACCCCTGACCTCTGTCTGGACAGTGCTGATCGGCCATGTGCTGACCACATGCACTCTCCCAACAAAAAAAAAAAACTCTCTAGCAATACACACTAAACTGAGCATATGCAGAGTGACTCCTTGAGCTCTGTACTATCAGCAGATGGATTGGCGATAGTTGAAGAAGGGGAAGATCAAAGAAGTCAGGATCAAACAGCCTTTTTAAACTATGTGTAGGATTAATCCTTTAGGTTCCACAGTGACTATAACAAGCATGCTTTCCTGCATATACCGACTGATTTTATAGTTGTGGGTTTAGTGACACTGTAAGTGTTCAGGTAAGGGAGGGTTATACCTGCATTAGTGTAGGGTGCATTTATCATCTCTAGGGAGGGGACTGCATGATTTTTAATTTGGTTTTGGCACCTGAAACCCCGGAGCTGGAATTCTGGTGCTGAAAATCAATGTGGTACAGTCTGCCGCACCCAGGAGTTAGTTTGCTATTACAACATCCTGGAGGTGATGCATACATTGGTAGTGGCTAAATCGTTAGCACTTCCACCTGGCAGTACTAGGGTTACTGGTTCGAATCCCAACCATGGCACCACCTGCCTGGAGTTTGCATGTTTTCCCTGTGACTGTGTGGGTTTCCTCCGGGTATGCCGATTTCCTCCCACACTCCATAGACATGCTGGTAGGTTAATTGACTCCAGTCTAAATTGGCCCTAGTATGTGTATATGTGAGTTAGGGACATTAGATTGTACGCCCCTTGAGGGTTAGGGACTGATGTGAATGTACAATATAAGTATGTAAAGCACTGCGCTATAGAAGTACCATAAATAAATACACCCAGCACAATAGACACTCGTCTACTATCACACAACTATCAGACTATCACACGCAGCAGCAGCGTGCCAGGCACATCTCCGCTTATACGTTCCCTCACCATAGTGAAAGTTCCCGACGTCCGGATCGTAAAAATAGGCGACAGTTTTCGACATTTTGAGGAAACGAACACAACCAATTACACAGGACCAGAATGCCGCCGCCGCTTCCGCTGGCGCACAGGAAATACATCACTCGGTAAGCGCTGCCGACCCCAGTCTCCTTAGCGTCACTAGTTTCCAGGTCGAACTCCCTCACAGCATAGAAAGGCGTGGTCAGGGAATGGGTGTGCGAATGGTGCAGAGCTGTGCTCACGAGGCTGAGGGTTTCTGTGAAAGAAACGTGGGCTAGGCCGCATGGGGATAGAATAGGCCATGGCTGCAGTTCCGTCGTCTAATTGCAGTCAGCTTCATGGTTGACAACTGCAGGATTGTGAAAGCATAATACATGCTAAGGCAGTCACCTTAAAAAACCTTTTGCAAAACAATAATAAATGCATTCATATTATTAGAAATAAACGTGCATAGATCTTTTTTGCAAATGAGCCTGCAATGAATTGGAACCGTAATCAGTGGCTGCTGGTTTCATCACCAGGCTACTTCAGACCTACTGACTTTCATTAACCACTTGCCTATCGGGTGCTTATAGCCCCTACCTGCCCAGGCCAATTTTCAGCTTTCATTGTTGCACTTTGACAATTGTGCAGTCATGCAACCCTGTACCCATATATCACATTTTTATCATCATTTTTTTCACACAAATAGAGATTTCTTTTGGTGGTATTTAATCACCATTGGGTGTTTTAGTTTTTGCACTATAAACAAAGCAAAAAAAAAAAAAAATTTTTTTCTTGGTATTATAACATTTTGCAACCAGGTAATTTTTCTCCTTTGCTGATGTGCATTGATGAGACTGCACTGATAGGCAGCACTGATGGGCCCTGATAGGCTGCACTGATGGGCACTGACTGGCGGCACTGATGGGTGACAGTGCTGGGCAGCACTGATGGGCACTGGTGGGTGGCACTATTGGGAACAGGTGGGTGGCACTGCTGGGCACTTGTGGGTGGCACTGCTGGGCTCTGATCATCAGGGCACTGATGATCGGTGCTGATCCGTCCTCTGACAGTTGCCGGTTATTGGCAGTACTTACAGCGTGAGGAAAATGCAGCTGATAACCAGCAACTGCATTTACCGGTGATCTGCAGTGTCATTGGACACAGCTGATCATGTGGTAAAAGGCCGCTGTGATTGGCCTTTTGCCACATCACGTGATCAGCTGTGTCCGTAGGACACAGCTGATCACGGAGATCGCTGGATCGTGGGTGCGTGCCCCCGGGAGGGCACGTTTTGGGAGGACATCATATGACGCCCTCCCAGAACTGGCCGGCTGCGGTGAAGCCATCATTCGGCTATCTGTGGTCGGCAAGTGGTTAAAACTGCACTGAATCTGCACTGCCAGTGCACCGTACATATGTGAACATGCACCATAGGAAGCAATGTTTTTCACACGTCATGCAGATTGGATTCAGTTCAAACTGCATCCAGTCCGCATATATGTGAACCGGCACTACAACAAAGCTCTCCAGTGGCACACTGGCTTCCATCTTCACCCAGCCTTCTTTTCAGGTTTGCAAGCGCCGGTCGTTTGACTGGCTGGGCCACCATAACGTCACTCTTGCACATGTGTACTGGAGTCTTGGGACACAGCACAGTGCTCTGAAGGAACGGCATGCAAAAAAATTTGAATATCTCCTAAACGGTGCACGTTTAGGGGATATTCATTTTACCTACAGGTAAACTTTATTATACGCTTACCTGTAGATAAAAATATACAAAGTGGGTTTACTGCCAGTTTAATTCATTTTTAATATTCAAAGCAATCTCACTAGTGGTGCACCGAAATGAAACTTCTGGACCGAAAGTGAAAATCCAGGATACACTTGCCCAAAAGCAAATCGGACAGTTTTTTTCTCTTTATTTTTTTTTCATATATATCCATTGACATAAAATAACTTTTATTGAAGGTACACATGCACGCACACACACACACACACGTTGGATATCTACAGTATACTGATAAGGACTGGGTAATGTGTTAGGAATGTAAGGATGCCCCATCGTTTGATGGAAATAAAAATGATCAACCTATAGAGGACTGAATTCAAAGACATCCTGAAAATCAAAGAAAAAATTATGCAGCAGGCTAGTCCATTTTGCTGCAATTTCATTGCAGCAACTCAAAATGGTACTCAGTAGTTTGTATGGCCCCCACGTGCTTGTATGTATGCCTGACACCGTCGGCGCATGCTCCTAATGAAAAGATGGATGATGTCCTGGGGTATTTCCTCCCATATCTGGACCAGGGCACTGTGCTCCTGGACAGTCTTGAGGTGCAACCTGGCGGTGTTGGATGGACCAAAACATGATATCCCAGTGGTGCTCTATTGGATTTAGGTCAGCCGAGCACGGGAGCCAGTCAATGGTATCAATTCATCCTCCAGGAACTGCTGCAGACTCTCACCACATGAGGCCGGGCATTGTCGTGCACAAGGAAGAACCCAGGACCCACTGCACCAGCATAGGGTCTGACAATGGGTCCAAAGATTTCATCCCGATACCTAATGGCAGTCAGGGTGCCATTGTCTAGCTTGTAGAGGTCTGTGCGTCCCTCCATGGATATGCCTCCCCAGACCATCACTGACTCACCACCAAAACAGTCATGCTGAATGATGTTACAGGCAGCAAAACATTCTCCAAGGCTTCTGCAGATCCTTTCACGTCTGTCACATGTGCACAAGGTGGACCTGCTCTCATCTGTGAAAAGCACAGGGCGCCAGTGGCGGACCTGCCAATTCTGTTGTTCAATGGCAAATGCCAATCTTGCTCTATGGTGCCATACAGTGAGCACAGGACCCACTAGAGGACGTCGGGCTCTCAGGCCACCCTCATGAAGTCTGTTTCTGATTGGTCAGAGACATTCACAAGTGGCCTGCTGGAGGTCATTTTGTAGGGCTCTGGAAGTGCTCATCCTGTTCCTCCTTGCACAAAGGAGCAGATACCGGTCCTGCTAATGGGTTAAGGACCTTCTATGGCTCTGTCCATCTCTCCTATAGTAACTGTCTGTCTCCTAGAATCTCCTCCATGCTCTTTAGACTGTGCTGGGAGACACATATATTGATGTGCCATCCTGGAGGAGTTGGACTGCCTGTGCAACCTCTGTAGGGTCCAGGTATCGCCTCATGCTACCAGTAGTGACACTGACCCTAGCCAAATGCAAAACTAGTGAAAAACAGTCCGAAAAGATGAGTAGAGAAAAGATGTCATTGACCTCCAGATGTAAAACAATTCCTGTTTTGGGGGTTGTCTCATTGTTGCCCATCTAGTGCACCTGTTGTTAATTTCATTAACACCAATGCAGCTGAAACTGATTAACAACCCCCTCTGCTAGTTAACTGACTAGATCAATATCCCAGGAGTTTAATTGACTTGATGCTATACTCTGATTAAAAATTGTTCGTTTAATTTTCTTGAGCAGTGTTTATGTGTATATAAGTATGGATATGCTGCATAATAATTTAAAGGATAGGTTCACCTTTTGACAAAATATAATAATTGCACTTTTTTTGCAGGTAAAAAAATGTGCACTTATTATTTTTTGTTGCAGGAGACTGGAAAGCATTGCACCAGCAATCAGCAGATCGCTGGTGCCATTCAGGTCTCCTGCAGATCTGTCAATGTGTCTGTGTGCCCATATGGAATGTATGAGCAGTTGATACAAGAAGAATGAACTACCACAGAGTATACAGTGCCGTAGTAGTTCCTGGAGAACTAAAAGTCGATAGCCGCGGCACTAGGGCTGTCAGGACTTGTAGTTTTCTTATTTACAGAATAGTGTGAATGAGTGGCACAGGCGGGCAGAGTTTTTTAAACATTTTGACAGCTAGCAGAAGGAGAAGATCCTCGCTAGCTGGGAGCGGGGAGGAGCAGGAGCTGGTCCTTTCATAACACCTGAACATGTTATGAAAGGTAAACTTATCCTTTCATTAAAAAACATAGGCATTATTGGCACCTTTTTTTTCCTATTGGGAATAGCACACAATTTTTATGGCAGAGATTTCTTCTCTTTTTTTCATTCAGCCCACATACTGCATGTAAAAAAAAAAGAACATAGCATATATACCCAACAAGGACCAGCGACATACTGGTACATCACTGGAATTTGAATGGTTATACCAGGATGATGCCTACAGCTGCAGGCATCATCCTGGTATTGTTTATTTCAGCAGGCGATTGGCTTTCATGTAAAAGCAGTCCTAGTGGCTAAATAGCTGAAGGATTGCTTTTACAAGCAGCGGGAGATGATGCCCCCCCCCCCCCTTCCCCCCGGCTGCCTTCCACTGCCTTCTTGGGCAGTCCCATGCCATTGGGGGAACCTGAGAATGCAGCCGGTGTTTCTGCCAGCTAACCATAGAGCTGATTGGAGACCAGAATGGTGCCAATCATCTCAATAGTCTAAGAAATCGGAAGCTACGAGCATTTCATCCATTCAGTTTTGCAGGATATAAACAGCACCATTTGTAAATTGGGAAAGCATCTGATCACACCAATCTTGGTTTGATTAGATAATGTAAGGGCAGAGGAGATAGACCCCAGATTTCTCAAAAAATAATATATGACAATGCCCATTGACGTTATAGGGGATATTTGCATTCCCTGTGATAGCATTAAAAGTGATGAAAAAAAATAAAAATGAAAGGGACAGTGTAAAAATAATTTAAAAAAATCAAAATAGCTTAAAAAAAAAAAAAAAGCACCCTCGGCCCCTGCGCATACCTGTGTGCACGAGTGTTGACCCTGTGCCAGTATGTAAACAGTGGTTGCACCATGCATGTGAGGTATCACAGTGAACATCAGATCAAGGGCAGTAATTCTAACACTAGACCTCCTCTGTAAATGTAAAATGGTATGGATATTAAAATTGTATGCAGTTTGTCGCCATTGCACGGTGCATTTGCGCAATTTTAAATCATGTCATGTTTGGTATCTATTTACTCGGCATACCATCATCTTTTATATTTTACCAAATAATTGGCCAATATATTGTGTCTCTGTGCATTAAAAGTAAAACAAGTGTATTTTTAAAAAAAAATGCGTTTGAAAAATTGCCGCGCGTGCGCGAGTACTATGTAACATAAAAAATTGCAGCACCCACAAATATATTCACTGGGGTGTTTGCTTTAAAAAATATATAATGTTTGGGGGTTTAAATTAATTTCCTAGCAAAAAATACTGTTTTTTTTTTCATGTGAACAAAAAGTGTCAGGAAAGGCTTGATCTTCAGGTGGTTAGAAGAGTTATGTGTGGCACAAACTTCTAATGCTGGGCATAAAATATCCCCATCCCCCCAAAACGACCCCTTTTTGGAAAGTAGACAACCCAAACTATTTTCTGAGAGGCATGTTGAATCAATAGAAGAATGTATTTTTTTACCACAAGTTTTTGGAAAATTACAAAATTTTATTTATTTATTTCTTTTTACACAAAATTGTCACTTAAATGATTTATTACTCACACATGCCATGTGTATATGTGGAATTACTTCCCAAAATACATTCTGCTACTTCTCCTGAGTATGGGGGAACCACATGTGAGAGACGTTTTGGCAGTCTAGCCAGGTACAGGACCCCAAAATCCAATAAGCACCTTCAGGCTTTTAAAGGGCTTTATTTCCTCATTACACTTCCAGGCTACCTATCACAGTTCCAGAGGACCTGAACTGTTTGTGTGAGAAATGTATAATTTAAATGACAACTTTGTGTAAAAAAAATATATATTTTTGTCATTTTCCAGAAACTTGTGGGAAAAAAATAAATCTTCCATGGACTCAATATGCCTCTCAGCAGATAGCTTAGGGTGTCTACTTTCTTAAAATGGGTCATTTGGGGGTGTTTGTATTATCCTGGTATGTTAGCACCTCAAGAAATGTGATAGGCAGTCAGAAAGTAAAAGCTGTGTAAATTCCATTATCTATACCATAGTTTGTAGACGCTATAACTTTCACACAAAGCAATCAATATACACTTATTGGGATTTTTTTTACCAAAAACATTTAGCATAATACATTTTGGCCTAAATTTTTAACTAACTTTGAGTTTACTATGTATTTTTTATAGCCGAAAGTAAAACATATAATTTTTCTTCAAAATTGTTGGTCTTTTTTTGTTTATAGCATGAAAAATAAAAAGCGCACAGATGATCAAATACCACCAAAAAAAACTTCTATTAATGTGAAAAAAAGGACGTAAATGTCATTTGGGTACAGCATTTCATGACCACGCAATTATCAATTGAATTAGTGCAGCTTCCAAGTAGCAAAAAGAGACCTGGTCATTAAGGGGGGTTGTAATGCCTATGAAATGTGTTGGCCTTGGACCCTTTGTTTCTTGGGTAATTTTTACAATAAAGCATTGTCGCCCAAATGACAGGGGCATGAGAAGTGATGTAATTTCTTTAGCCAAAGGAACAGAGTCACAAGATATTCTGCTGAGAGCAAGATAAAACCTTGTTTATGGAATGAACCGTGTTTATGACATCTAGTAACCTCACATTAGGAGATAAAAACCTTTTTAACCACCTCCCGCCCACCATATAGTAATATGATGGGCGCAAGGTGTCCGCATGCGTGGCTCAGGGAGCGCGCAGCGTGGCGATCGGCGGTGCGCTGTGTCCCTCAGACACAGTGGATCACCGATCGCGGAAAGAGCCGAAGATGTCGGCTCGGTCATGTGATCAGCTGTGTCTAATCACAGCTGATCACATGTAAACAGGGAAATGCCAGTGACATTTCCCTGTTTCCCTGACAGCTCGAGAGGAGAGGAGAGCCGGTAATCAGCTTTTCCGCGGAGGTGACATACACTGATCATCAGGGCACTGATGATCAGTGTGCCCTGATGATCAGTGTAGCCCCAGCAGTGCCACCTGTCAGTGTCCATCAGTGCCTTATGTCAGTGCTCATCAGTGCCTTGTGCCAGTGCCACATCAGTGCCTACCAGTGCACATCAATGCCACATATCAGTGCCCATCTGAGCTGCCTTTCAGTGTCTCCCATCAGTGCCAGTCAGTGCCACCTATCAATGCCAATCAGTGCCACCTATCAGTGCCAGTCAGTGCTGCTTATCAGTGCGCATCAGTGTCGCCTATCAGTGTCGCCTATCAGTGCCTGTCAGTGCCGCCTATCAGTGCCTGTCAGTGCCGCCTATCAGTGCCAGTCAGTGCCACCTATTAGTGCCAGTCAGTGCCGCCTATCAGTGCCATATATCAGTGCCATGTATCAGTGATGCCTGTCAATGCCCATCAGTGCCACCTACCAGTGCCTCCTCATCAGTGCCACCTATCAGTGTCCATCAGTGCAGCCTCATTAGTGCACATCAATGAAGGAGAAAAATCACTTATTTACAAAATTTTATAACAAAAATTAAGAAAAAAAATTTTTTTTTTTCAAAATTTTCAGTGGTTTTTGGTTTGTATAAGAAAAAATAAAAAACCCAGAGGTGATTAAATACCACCAAAATAAAGCTCTATCTGTCACATCTAAGTTAGAAATCGATAAGTCTGGGGGAGATGAAAAGAGGTTTTGGGGTAGATAAGAAGTAAAAGTGTGACTTTTCAGATAACGAATATGGTGGTTGAACATGACTTTTATCCTCTCTGAACCCTTCTGCTAGCCCCCCTCCCGTAGTGGGTGTGGCACTGCCCACTATTGGACTGCTTCCAGAAAAAGGGATTATAAGGTGAAGGTTCGGGCAAGACCAGTGGAAGCTCCCCTAGTGGCCAGAGGACGCTCTGACACTGGGATTTTTTTTACCAAGGCTATATGGGCTCATCAACTGGTCGCGCCTATGGCTTCTCCGTGACCACCTGGGCAGTTTGGTAGGATTTGTTCCTCCCAGCTGCCACATAGGTTCGGTAATGTATTATTTCTATGCTGTGACGCTGTCAAATGATGTGTTTATTTCATCCTGTAATGCTTACATTATTATTGGTGTGTGTTATTATGCAGATTGTGATGAATATGAGATATATCCTCCTGTGTGTCGTGTGATAATAAAAGTGGAGGTTTTGACAGTGCAAGAATATTGCAGTTGGATTCTGTTATTTCTTGGAGTGCCGGGTGAATGCTATGATGTTACAGGGCAGGTGTTCATTGGGTAGTTGGTCTTTCACAATGTATAGAACATGTAATGGGTTTAAATGCTGATTAAAAGTACCTGCAGGACTGCATGTTGATTGTGTGCATGTATATGACTTGTTTTTAGTAATTGCACCCAGCATCACTATTACAGTGATAAATCCTCTGGAGGGCAAGTGGTTAACTTATTTGTTTTTGATACACCATGTGTCCTGCAAAAGCAGCTTCCCTTTGACTGGTATTCTAGCTACCTTTTTTCTTTTGTATTGGTACATATGCTGCAGGGACTGCATTGACTAAGGCTAGGTTCACACCTATGCAGTTTGCGTTTGATCCATTTCTGCAGTGCTTTTTGTGGTTTATTTTGTGTCTTTGCACATGCATTTTTGACGCATTTTGCTGGGGGTTTTTTTCATTTTTTTTTCCTTGTTGCTAGGCAGATTAAAACACATCAAAAACGTGTCAAAAGCACAGCAAAATTGCACTACGTGCTTTTCTGCAGCGTCTCCATTGAAGTGTATAGAACCAAAAATGCAACGCTTTGCGTTTAAAAAAAGTCCTTGACCCTTTTCAAAAAACACACCGGTTGAAAACCGATATGAACGTATCCTATAGGACAGTGGTTCTCAACCTTCCTAATGCCGCGACCCTTTAATACAGTTCCTCATGATGTGGTAACCCCCAACCATAAAATTATTTACCCAGTAATTATAATTCATGAAGTGTCATTTTACCTCCAATACTGCTGCTTTCAACACAGTAGCTGCTTTTAACAGAGTAGCTGCTTTCAACACAGCACCTGCTTTCTACACAGTAGCTGCTCTTTACACATCGGAAATATGTAATTTCCGATGGTCTTAGGTGACCCCTGTGAAAGGGTATTCGACCCCCAAAGGGGTCGCGACCCACAGGTTGAGAACCACTGCTATAGGAGATCATGTCAAATGGACTGTAGTGTGTTTATGCAAAATGCAAAACACTGCGGAAAATGCCTAGGTGTGAACCTAGACTTAGTAAGTTGGCATACTTCTACAATATAAACTATTTTACCAATTTTTTTTAGCAATAAAGACTGACAGGGGTTCTAATTCTTCTTCACTGGGGTTCTAATTCTTCTTCACTGTATCCATCCCACTGGATATCACATGAGATAAAATACTGTATGGTTTCATGAGATAAACACTGCATATTTCTGAAAAATACCGCATGCAGTATTTTAGAAGTGTTTTAGTGAATTCCAACATTTTTTGAAAAATGCTGAGCAGTATTTTACCTCATTTCTTAAATTGGGCAATACTGCTTTGTGAATGGGTCCCAATGTCTTTTTTTCTGTTGTCTTTGTCTCATTGGGGAGATTCACCTTCACTTTTTGTCCCGTAGACACAACAGAAAGTGAAAGGAAATCTTTGCAAAGTGAAAGAAATCCCCTTCTTAACAATTGTCACTGTCCCCATTAGAGGAGTTGCCCCCTATTCTTGTTCTGAGAAGCACCCAAGGACAGAGGTTATGAGGACAAATCAAGAGAGAATCAAGAATCTTGACTGCCTAATACAACATATTCATAAGGTTGCAAAGTGGAACCTGTGGTGTTCTACGGAGTGCTCTGTGCATAGCCCTGCAGAGAATACAACATGGTAGAAGGAGAGATTTCATAAGTACAATAGTTATGAACATAGATGGGAACTTGCCAGAATTAACTTTGCAATTTTGTGTCATTATGGGAATGATTTTAATTTCCAGGGCAATCTGATAAAATTGCGTGTGTGATATCCTTTTTATTAATCATGCATGCTACGCTGCCCACCCAAGTGATGCTCTGCAGCAAAGAAGAGGATTCAGAGGAGGGGTGTGTGCAATGTGAAGGATCTGGCCAGCTGAAGAGTGGGAATAGGTGAGAGTCAGGGACCCCCATAACTGTGGCAGCTATCACCCGTGGTGGCCTAGTAGGCGACTTTCTGCAAAGGACAGGAAGTCAGGAGCAAACTGCTAATCACAATGGATGCCAGGCTGACAAAATTTGTTCTCTTTGCAGATGTAAGAGGAATAGGAATCACACCTTGCCCACAGTTCTTTCTTCCTCATACTTCTGCAAAGTGCACAAGCTCTCATGCACACGCTGCTGTTTTTGGCTTTTTAAATTTTTTTCTACAGCTAGTAAACCCCCCAACATGTTATCCTATGTGTCCATGCACACATAGACTGTAATCAAGGTTTTTTGGCTGGGACGTTTCTTGGCTGGAAAAAAATGCTCTAATGCTGAAAAACACAGCAAAACGCAGTAAAACGGCACAAACCAGCATTTTTAGAGTTTTTTTGACAAAAAAATTTTTTTAAATAAAAAACGCTAAAAAACCGCAAAAGGGGAAAGACAACGCTAATTGTGGCAAAACACCACTAAACACTAATGGAAAAACACTAAAAAAAAAACTAAAAAAACTCAAGTTTTTATCATGACTTTACACAGCTAACGTTACCAGTGTTATCAAAATGTCAAGTGTGCATGAGGGAGTTGTTGACGGAGGGTTAGAACATCTACAAGTAGGGGTTGGGAGAACAAGCAGCAATCTAACAGATACTTTGCATACTGTGTTAGCAGTGCCAGGGCGAAGATGGCAAACTGCATCCCCTGAGGGGATGAGACTGACACTTGCACATGCAGCAAAATGTATTTATTTATTACAAGTACTTAAATAGCGCTGTCAATTTACTCAGCACTTTACACATATATATACATATATATATATATATATATATATATATATATATATATATAGTACATTCACATCAGTCCCTAACCCTCAAGGGGCGTACAATCTAAGGTCTCTGGCTCACATTCATACATACACATACTAGGGCCAATTTAGTCAGGATCCAATAAACATACCAGCATGTCTTTGGAGGGTGGGAAGAAACTGGAGGGAGAACATGCAAACTCCAGGCAGGTGGTACTGTGGTTGGGATTTGAACCAGTGACCCTAGTACTGGCCAGGTGGAAGTGTTAACCATTTAGCCACTGTGCTGTATGTAATGTTTATGGCATGTGTGGCATATTTTTCAAAGTGTGCTTGACAAGTGGTAAGGAGACAATATGTCCCCTCCTTGCTGCCTGCTTTAACCCTGAAAATGCTGACCCATTGCATACGGTTGTAACACAGTACTATAGACTACAAGTGTTGTCACTTGTGTCCATATACACCTGCCTACCTCCAAGTCCTTCCAGTTTCAGGACCTAAACATAACAGATCAGAGGTAGCCTGATGTAAACAGACAGAGGACTCTGTTTACAGCTACCCATAGTTCTGTCCAAGGTCCACCTATGTCCGCAGGCTCAAACTAAACAGGCACTGATGTCAAGGAACTGATATTTTTTTTTAGTTTTGGCTATGATTCCCTGCTGAGCACAGTGTACTCCGTGCAGGCTATTTGGTAGGTGAAGGTGTTTAGGGGAATGCCAGGTTTAGATGGTGTTGAGAGTTAGGCATGCAGTATGTGTAGGTTGTGTTGAGAGTAAGACTGACCACAGAGCCTTGACAGGTGAGAGGGTCTTGAGGGCATTGCCAGTGGGTATAGTTGGCCGCAGAGTCTTAGCAAGTAAGGTTCCCTATTTTAAATTAACCCCTTCCCGCCAGCACCTCCTGGCCCTTTAAGAGTTTCAGAAGCCGGGAGGTGGGACGGGGGGGTTTAGGGATCATGTGACCGCCATGACGCGTCATCACGGCGATCACATGATCGGGAAATGTCCTGATCAAAAGATCAGACTGGGACCTTTCCGTGAGTACCAGCCATTTGTGCTGGGAGCGTGCAGGGTGCGCGCTCTCACCACATATGTTTTTTGCTAATTGCACGCAAATGTGCGGCCGCTCGGCGTCTAGGCCCAGACGCCGGGTGGCCGCACATTTGTGTGCTGCCGGCGTGAAGAGATTAAAGGATACCATATGGGGTTCTGTCTGCCACTGCTGCCTGCTTGGCTGTGCAGAAGTCAGCTGATCGTAAAAGCAGAAAGTAAACTGATATCACAATTGAAAGTTATTCCATGTGTAGCACCTTCCTAAGTGGTGCTAGTATTAGATAGATAGATAGATAGATAGATAGATAGATAGATAGATAGATAGATGGATACATTTAGTTGTCACTCTGTAGTCAGAGTTTTAATTATTTTTAGGTAAAAGGATCATTAGCTCATTGTACTTGGTGAGCTATGATCATTTAGTTTTTTCTGCTCTGTGTTCTCAGGTGTTGCTAGACTGCCTAACTTCCTCTATGTCCAGGAAAATGTAGATGGTTCTGGATGAGGGGTGGAGTTATGCAGATGACAGCAAGAATATACAGCTTCTCAGCCT